CTCAATACTCGGCCCTGACGGACACCGCCGGGCGGCCTACGCGGTAGTAACCATCTCAACCATTATCGAGGCCAACCGCCTCCCAGAAGGGACAACCTCTCAAAGGGCTGAACTGATAGCACTCATGCGGGCCCTCGACCTCTCTAAGGGCCAAAGGGTCAATATCTATACAGATTCTAAATACGCCTTCCTGATTGCACACAGCCATTCAGCTCTTTGGAGGGAACGCGGATTTTTGACCACCAAGGGTTCCCCGGTGGTCAACGCCTCCCTCATCGCAAAACTTCTAGAGGCCCTCCAACTGCCTGAGGAGGTGGCAATCATCCACCGCAGGGGCCACCAGTCTCCCTCTAACCCAATAGCACAAAGTAACTCAAAGGCCGACTCCGTGGTCCGCAAGCTCACCAAAGAGGCCCCTCCAGCTCCGATCTTGTTCCTCACCACCTCAATCCGACCCGCATACGACCCCCACGAAGAGACAGCCCTACTATCCAAAGGGGGCCACAAGGCCGAAAAAGGATGGATTTTTATGGACAACAAAGTTGCCCTCCCTTCAGCCCAAGCGGCCAGCCTCCTATCAGACATCCACAAGTCCCTACACATTGGCCCGAAGGCGATGTTCCATTTCCTAGATCCCCTCTTTTACATGCCTGGACTCAGAGATGCCATCTCACAAACTCACGCAGCTTGCCAGACTGGCGCGTCCGTCTCTCCACAAGGGGGCCTACGACCCCAAATCCCTACTCACCAGATGCGCAGACACCAACCTGGCGAGGACTGGCAGATTGACTTCACCCACATGCCCCGCTGTAAACGCTTCCGATATTTGCTCACTCTCGTTGACACCTTTTCAGGTTGGATCGAGGCCTTCCCAACGGCCCGAGAAACAGCAGATACGGTCGCCACCATCCTTCTCCAACATATCATCCCCCAATTTGGCCTGCTGATCTCCATCCAGTCGGACAACAGAGCCATCTTCTTCTCTCAGCTGGTTCAACAGGTATCCAAGGCTCTTCAGATCACCTGGAGACTCCACCTCCCCTACCACCCCCAGTCATCCGGTAAGATTGAGTGTGCCAATGGAATCTTGAAAGACCACCTCACCAAGCTGTCCCTTGAGGTCCGTATCTCGTGGCCCAACCTGCTCCCCCTTGCCCTCACCTGAATCCGAGTCTCACCTCGGACCCCTACTGGTCTCAGTCCATTTGAACTGCTCTACGGCCGCCCTTTTCTCCTCCATAACTTAACAACCCAAAACCCACCCCTAGCTTCCTACCTCCCCTACCTGTCTCTGCTTCTCCACCTTCTACGTGAGCACACTGACCGCAACCTGCCGACGGTCACGGTCTCTGAAACTTCCTCTCTCCCTCTACAACCCGGCGATAGCGTCCTCCTCAAAGAATTACACCCCCAATCTCTCAAGCCACGGTGGACAGGCCCCCATACAGTGATCCTCACCACTCCCACGGCAGCTAAACTCTTGGGACACCCCTCCTGGTACCATGTCTCCCGCCTTAAAATGGCCCCAACTCCAGAGACTTGGACGGCCCTGCCGCTGGGTCCCACGAGACTATGGCTTGTTCGTCACCCTGTCTCTCCTCCTGCTGCTCCTCCTGCCACCCAGGACTCACCAGATGTCCCTATGGCGCTTCCATGTCCACGGGACATGGCAAGCTAAAGGTCGAACCCATGCTCGAGTCCTGGTCACGGGAAACTGCCAACCAGATGGGTGCCAGGCCCTGGTAACAGTCCAGATCCCCATCTCTAACATAGAAGGTGTTCCCCTGGGATGGTCCACCCCCGTTGACTGCTTCACTTACGATCAGACCCGAGACTACTGTCAATGGTGGAGTGAGACCTATGGGGGGGTGCCCCTATCCCTCATGTAACATCCATGTGGCAAAACTAGATACCAGGAGCTCTCTCTGACAATCCCACCTGCTCACCAGAAATGGCAAGGGTCAATTATTCATCAACATCAAAGATCCCTGGGACACAAGATGGGTAAAAGGGGTACAAGGAAAAATCTACCAGTGGGCAACTGATGCCTACCCCATGGGCTCTATCAGGGTCTTCTGCTCATACGTCAGAGTGATCCCTGAAATTATCCAGCACTTGAGCGAGCAGGCCACCATGGTCCAGGAGACGGAACAGGCCCTAGAACGCTAACTACCCCACCCTGACCACAAGATGGTCCCTTTTTCTCGGTTGGTCCTCATCCGCCAGGGGGTGCAAATGCTTAATCACACCGGGATAGGCAACATCTCTGACTGCTTTCTATGTGCCTTACTTGGCCGACCACCATTGACTGCTGTCCCACTCGACCAGCCCTTCACCTCTACCCTCCTCAATTCCTCCCAGAACTTACCTTTTCCCCCCTTTAAGAGTCCCCATATTTCTTGATTTAGAAAAAAAGAACCTCACAATTTGCTATGGCAGCCGCCCAAACTTAACTAATGATGCACTCCCTTGCAATTCATCCCTCCCTGTAACTACGCCAATGGGGGCCCCACCAGGCTTGTTCTTTTGGTGTAATGGCTCCCTTACAAAAGAGGTCAACTCTTCCTCCCCCTTCCCATGTATCCCTGTCACCCTTGTGTCCACTCACATTATATGGCCAAGCTGAATTTCTCTCACTTACCACACAACTTTTTGGCCGACAAAAAAGGGCCATCTTTCTCCCTATGGTCGCAGGCTTTTCCCTCGCCTCGTTGCTGCGGGCATCGGGGGAGGAGCCCTAACACACAGTGTCTCAACATCCCGTGACCTAGAACAGAAACTCCAGCTAGCCATCGAGGCTTCTGCCGCCTCCATCACCTCCCTCCAGCGCCAGATCACCTTAGTAGCCCGAGTTGACCTCCAAAATCGACGCGCCCTGGACCTTCTGACAGCCGGCAAAGGAGGTACCTGCCTCTTCCTACAGGAAGAGTGCTGCTACTACATCAACGAGGCAGGGGTCGTTGAAGACAATGTAGATGCTCTCCGACGCTTAAAAGAACTCCAACGCAGGCAGCGACAATCCACCTCCCCCATCCCCGATTGGTGGCGGTCCACTCTCTATACCTGGCTAACACCAATCCTAGGCCCCTTAATCCTTATCTGCATCCTATTCATGCTTGCCCCGTTTCCTCAGGTTTCTCCACAGCCGTATACAAGAAGTCTCTCGGGTGGCGGTGAATCAGATGCTCCTCCACCCATATGCCTTACTACCCACAGAACCCCCCGCTGCCGCCCTCCCCTAACCTCCGGACCGCTGGCCGCCCGACTCCCTTCCGGCGCCCCCGTACAGCAGGAAGTAGCCAGAGACCAAACGTCGCCCCATTACACCAAAGAAGTCGGGATGTAAGGCCAGCAGGTCCGGGGAAGGGCCCAGGGAGTCACACGGAAGCCCCCCCAGGGTGGTTGATGCAGCCGAACCCACGAGTGGCATCAGCCCGGGACTTTCCACCTGCTCAGGAAACAGACCCAGAACTTTCCACTCGGCCCCGGTCTTCCCGCTCCCCGAGGGGCGGAACCAACGGCTCTGAGGCTGATGCAACCGACACCTGACATTGCCACAACACCCGAAAGATTACCAAAAAAGGGGGCTGCTTCACACAGCAAGCGCCTCCCCTGCGTCCACCCCTATAAATTTTGTTCGCGCCTGCACCCAGGCGCGACTTCTCTGGCCCCTTTCTCTCGGACCAGTGAACCTCGCCCGGGAGCGTTCCCAAATAAAGCTTGTTTAAGCTCCCCTCCGTTTTTGGTGCCGTTCCTTACACTGATGATTAGAATAATTAAAATCACCTAAAAAGATATATTAAAATATTTTTGGGGCTTCCCTGGTGGCGCAGTGGTTGAGAGTCCGCCTGCTGATGCAGGGGACACGGGTTCATGCCCCGGTCCGGGAAGATCCCACATGTCGCTGAGCGGCTGGGCCTGTGAGCCATGGCCGCTGAGCCTGCGCGTCCGCAACAGGAGAGGCCACAACAGTGAGAGGCCCGCGTATGGAAAAAAAAAAGTGATGAATATATATTGTTACCAGCAAGTAAATTTATAATAATAACATATTAAACTCATAAAACCTATTATTTCCCATGGGTTTAAGATATTTCTTGCATAGGACATAGGACTGAATATATATGGCATATTTTCCCTTCCTCAGCTTAATGAAAACATTTTATATAGTAAAAGCATCAAATAATGTTTAATATGTTTTATACAATATAGTTCAGCCTAGGAAAAATAATATATATTGTCAATAGTGCAAATATTTTTAGAAGCTACAATTTGGTGTAGCTGGCTAGTCAGTTTCTATAGTAATTCATTTAACCAGAACCTTTTAGAAAATGTTGCTGGGTTGATTTAAGAATTTATTAACGATTAATCTGATTGGTTCCATGATATCCAGTTAAAAATTCTTCAGGCTATAATAACAGCTTTACTTCCTTCCTGCTTTTATTATAACTTCAAATAAATGGTTAAAAATATAAGGTTTATCAATATGCTAAGTTGTCATTAAAATGATTTTCTGGCCTAATGACGATTCTGAATTCCACATTATTTCTTTCTCTAATCTTGTATATAGCAATCATTCCTAAGGCCTATGGCATTTTCTCATTATTCAACACTAAAGAATTTAAGACCACATAATAGTATTCTCATTCAGGTATGCTGACTAGCCTTAGAGTTGCAAGATGTGTACAGTGTCTATAAAGTTGTAGAAAGAGTCAATGTGTGAAAATGTTGGACTTTTAGTACATGATATGCCCTTTTTGACAGCACATCAAAATGGAGCAAAAAACATAAAAGATGTTCATACTTTAACTCAGTGATCTCACTCTTGAGAAGAAAATGAAATAGATGAGAAGTTGAATGCATGCTATTCCTAATAGAATCTTATAACAAATAATGGAAAACCATCTCAGAGGCTAACAGGAGAGGAAGTAGTGATTAATGCAATAACAATATCTGAAATAGAATCTACGCTACAACCTTTAAAAATAAAAATAAGACTAGGCAGTAACATAGAAAAGTTTATGATATCTGTTAGTGGTTTCCACAATGTAATGACAATGATGTAAAATAGATATTAATGTAAACAAGCATCAAATAGTCATACATAAAATGAAAATAGTTATTAATATTTATTATTAATTTTAATCTTATTGATATGTCACTTTTAAAATTAAAATACAATAGGGTTACTTATTAATCACAGAATTTATTTTCTAACTTCTAGAAGATAGTGCTACTAAGTCCAGTTGGAACACAAAAAGACCTGTGGGTTTTATTTAAGTTAGGTGTCCTGATGAAACAGGACCACTTTGGTGACTCAGATACTTCCAAAGGGGTCTAGAAGAAGAGGATAAGAGTTATGAAAGGAGGAACATCCAGGAGAGTTGTCGGCCTTTTGTTTTAGGTGTACATTTGGGCTGTTAAGGCTCTTCTAACTCCTTATCACTACCTATGTCCTCAAACATTCTTAGAATGTTTAACTTCTGCTATAAATTTCCACACCATATCTTTTAATCCCAATCAGTAGGCTGACTTATGAATCAGATAAGGAAAGTACAGTATTAGAGATCCAAAGGCTGAGGTTTCCAAAAAGGAATTAAGGTAAAATTGAAGTAAATTAAAAAAAAAAAAAGAAAAATTCTGTGGCAAACTCGAAGGTTACAGTAGGGGCCGGAAGATAACAGAAACAAGTGCAGCAGGCTGGATATAAGTAATTGGGAGCGAGAGGCCCTGTGGTAAACTGCAGTTTGCCCTGTTTAAAAGCAGCAGGCGCTACATAGATCCAACAGGTTGCTGACATGCATGAATGCAGACTTAGGGCTGCCAGATATTCAGAATCCTTCAAGGGAGCCCAGAAATACAGCTGTTCAGGTGAAATCTCCTGAGTTTCTAACTGTTGGCAACTAACTAGAATTAGTTTTAATTTGTCATTCCCTGCAATAGCCTAATAACAGCTGCCTTTGGGCTTATTTTGTTTCACAGAATTCCTGTGTACCACCTCTGACCTATAGTTAGCATGCAGGCAGGGATTTCCTAAAAGGATGATCTTTATCTGCCAGAAGTCACATTTTCAATTGAGGCCTTTCGTAGAAAAAATAAAAAATATTAAAAAAAGAAAAATGCTAAACAGTGAAGCTAAAGTAAGTTGTGAGCATGCTGGTAAGCACAAATGAATAAGGGCTTACAAACTCTAAGAACATTATGCTAAGACCTTAAATGTTCCTGAGGAGCAAAACCTTAGAGGATTTTACTTTTACATTCTCTATAACTGAGGAGACATTCTGAGTCACTACAAAAGGAGATCAGCCCAAAAGGCTTTTTATAAAGATGGCTCCCTTTACTGAAATTACATTAAAAATGATCAGAAGAAAATGACAAAATTTGACCAAGATGGAATTGCTATGAGCTACCAAACTGCAAATAGGACCTGACTGTGTGTGTCCTGTGTTGTGCCTGTTGCTAGTTTCCCTTCAGCTATCCCATTCCTTCCAACTCTCATTTTCCATCCTTGACTGTTGTTAAAAGGAGGTCGCTGGAGACTCCTAAGAAATGATTGTCTGGCTGAGTAAAGAAGGAAACCGAAAAAGAGGTATAAAGGCATTTTTACTTTAACCGTAGGAATTTACCGTCATTAAAGTTAGACTCTGTGGATGGGTGGGAGTGAGTGGTTGGAAGGAAGGGGAGAGCTGTCTATTCAACTCATCATTTGCATCACATGCACCCAAGGAAAAAATGTTTACCTGGTGGAGCCACGGTTAACCTTTTTTCCTTGCTGAGCCGGTGCCCTTGGATGAATTCACTCATGGAAGGGGGGCCCTTCAGAAGAAATGATTCTGTGGAGGTGGGATCAGGGGGAACTCTTAATAAATTCTGTAGGTAGGAAGCCCCTGAAGTCCTGGGACGGCTCTGATCACAAAGGGAAGGTGAAAATTGTCTTGCAGGAGATCCAAGAAAATACATATAGGAAACAAAAAAGTTTTACTTTAATTACCTTTCAAAGCCTCACCAGTGACAACATTATTTATATTGGCATTTAAAATTTTTTAACAAGTAAATCAAGATTTTCACTAAATGTTTAGTTTCCATACCAGGATACAACCCTATTTGGAAACTGTACTGGATACTGGAAAAGAGATTTATTATAGTTAGTCAGTTTGAACCACAAATAGAAAATATTTATATTGTTTGATTCTTAACTGAAAACTCCTAAAATAAAAACTTTACTATTAACTGAATATACAGGGTAAGTAATTCAACATCCAGGACTCTGGAAAAAGGTCATAAAATCAAGCCATTAAAAACCATACAAATGACTTTTGGACAATATTCACATAACAAATGAAAAAGCACAAAAACCTGCTTTTAAGAAAAAGACTATACATATTCCATTCTATTTGACCTAAATAGAGACATCACCTTTCAGTCAGTCACCAGTTTTCGGAATATGGACAAAAGTTCCCCTAAGAGAACACATTCATATCCTTGCCTCCTTAGAGAGAAGCTGGTAAGTAGCACCATTGCCATTAAAACTATCACCCATGTAAAACATAGCTTCATTCTTAATATTGACCTTTTTGTCTACCAATTTTTAGGTTGGAGGTAAGGGAGAGGCACATTTATGCATACAAGGAACAGCAAAAATGTTAACAGACACTTGAAAAGTATATTATGGTTAACCAAGAGATGGGGTGTGGGGGACAGAAAGGAATAAATAAACACAAGTATCCAAAGGTTTTAATTTGGAAAAACCAACATTGGCAAGGCCCATTTATACACCCACTCCCAGTTTTTCCCTTCCTTTCCTTCCTCCATCCTCCACAATAAGAGCACATTAACTTTTGCAGTTAACTAAAATCTGGCCACTGCACCATACTATGAAGATCGCTGCATGCATACCTTTTCCTCTGAGTGCCACTGCTGACCCGAATGTTGGGTGTCTGTGGGCCCTGACTATGCAGGAGGTAAGTGTCTATGGTGGGCACGGTGACTGATGCCTCCCCACTTACTTTAGGGCTGCCGATCTTGCTCTTTCCAAGTTTGCCTTTGCTGCGACGGGACTGCTCATGGTCAAACTCTAAGTCCTCCAGCCGCTGGGTCAGGGCGAGTTTTTGCTGGATAGCCATTCGTAACAAAGTGTTTAGAGTCTTCTTCTCATCCTCTGCAGCTGCTAACTGTCTCTGCATCTCATCCAACTGTGTGACATATTCATCACATCTGGAACCACAACAGAAAAGTGGTCAGGAGAAAATCTTGGTGAAATTAAGTTTGGAACTTAAGTTGAAAGTAATGAATTTTACTGGAATTTAGATATTTGGAACACTGGTCTTCCTAGATCACAATGGAAGTAATCTATTATAGTAGAAAACTGGAAACAGAGCAGGTTCAATAACTGATAGTTAATCTATACAATGAAGTATATATAGGGACATTGTTAATAGGTGGCATCTTAAACCCCAGAGACAGAGTTATTGCGGTTGCAGAAGAACCAACAGTAAAGTCTCAGGTAATGTTCACAGCATTGTAGATGTGTTACAATAGCTTTATAGTTTATGCCTGTAGCATGCAAAAGAATAATAATATTTGTAAAGAAAATATGTACTTCTTTATCTATATTTATAGGTTTTATTTTAATTGAGTACAGATTGTAGTTGCTATTGCTTTCAATATGGCAGATTTGCCTGAATTAGAAACCTGAGTATCTTCAATGATTTCCCAAACAGATGATAAAGCAATAGGTGCAAACCAAGATTTGCATAGGGTTCAAAACAGATATAGCCAGCTGTCAGGAACATCTTTATTCAGGTTTGATACTTGTGCTGCAGCAGGAGGATAAGCTCGGTGGTCTTTTTTCTACCCAAAGTAACACCTAAGCATATGTACATTTGGAAGGAAGAATTATTCACAAAATTATTCAGAGTTTTTTCTGCATTTATTTACCTACTAAGATAGTAAGAGCTCTCCATGAATCAGAAGATAGTTAATGACTTTCTGGAGTTACCCAAAATGTATTGTACAAACTTTGAAATTAACACAAGACTTTTGGTATTTTAAAGAAAGAACAGACTTTGTAGTGAAAGAACTTGAGATCCAGGTGGGTCCCATTTTCTTTTTTTAAAAAATATAATTTAATTTAATGTTTTATACAGCGGGTTCTTAATAGTTATCTATTTTATACATATTAGTGTATATATGTCAATCCCAATCTCCTGGGTTCCATTTTCTTTAACACTGAATGTCAAGAAGCATAGTAGGAATATCATAAGAAAAATCAGGGCTTAGTAAAATAAAATGTGGATTTCAGGACCCTGGATTTATTTTAATTGGTTAGATAAAAATATTTTTAAGAATACTATGGAGTAAGGCAGTTAATATACCTGAAAAAACAAATTTCTGTGAAAATGCATTATTTGAGGATAATAATTCTTATATAAACCAGATCGAGACTTTAAATGTCCCTTTAAAAATGTTTTGATTTCCTTTACAAAGAGGGGGGCATTGTGCACCAAACCCATTCTCCATCCTGCCGCCCTCCACCGCCATAGTGGCCAGAGGTGTGGACATTCTACTCCCCAAACTCTACTGTGCTCAGACCCAGAAGTCAGTTCCCTTCAGTTCTCCTGTAACTTTGTGGTCTCTTAGGCACTCGACCACCCGACTGCTATTTCCAAGAGTCAATAACAAAGTTTGAGTTTGAGCCTTTTCTCTTCTGACACTAAAAGGAAGCTGGACAGATTCCAGGGCCCAGGATTTTTTTTTTTACATTATATCAGCTACATGTAAGTAATTTACTGAATCTGTAAATAAAGCATAAGCATAGTTATGCTTTGTGAATTTTGTACCAAGTTTGCATCATATAAAATATAGAACTATGTTTGTTTTGGCACTGAATTGTGACAGCAAAAAGGAAACTGCAACACTATATTGAACACCTCAAGATTTTGAAAGCGTTGAATCAATAATTCTTGACAGTCATTTCAAGTCTAAAAAATAAAATATAGTGGTGCTTCATAATAAAACTGGTGGGGGGAGGTAATAAGTAATATTTGTCTAAATAATTAGTTGGGCAGTGTGAAAAATTTGGTGATATATATATAATTACATTTTAGAAATTATAATTTAATTCACACTATATTAAAGTAATTAGCTGATATGATGAATATTAATCTTCATTACAAAGTATCTTTTTCACACAAATACTTGCTAATGATAAACACTTTTATGTATACAGAAATAAATGTCAGTGATGATAATGTAATATTTAGCTATTTTAGGAAGTGAGTTTTTTCCCCCTTATTGGAGGTGTTTTTTTTTCTTTTTTCTTTTTTTTTTTTTTGGTCTAATTCTTTTGGGCACATAAGGCTCTAGAAAAAATATCTATTATATTAATTTAAAAACACTTGTATGGGGAATTTCCTGGGACCCCAGTGGTTAGGATTCTGCTTCCACTGCTGGGGGCCCAGGTTCTAACCCTGGTTGGGGAACTAAGATCTGCAAGCCGTGCGGCACGGCCAAAAAATAAAAAAAAATTAAAAAATTTTAAAAATTAATAAATAAAAACACTTGTATGTAGAAGAATTGCTTGATCCAGTGTGTCCAGTAGAGGGCTCTGGAAAACAGCACAAAAGATTTTATCTTAGATTTGTCAGAGTGGAATCTCATGTATTTTCTTTACACCTTGCCCTTTTAGATGGCAGACTAAGTAACACTCACGATGCACGAAGATGAACATGGGCATTTTGAAGTCTTTTCCCCATTTACCACACCTAATCTCGCAAGAAAAACTATTACCTTGTTGCAAACATTGCTCTCAGGGATGAGAAAGTTGCTGCATCTTCTTTCAAAGCCTTCAGTTCATTTCTAAGTTTCGTCATAGTTTCAGTCACCATTGCTTTTTCGTTTTCATATTTGTTCTTGAGATTAGCTAATGCCACCTCAGCTGTCTAAAGCAGAAAAATCACAATGCTTACAATTTTCATATCAGGAAAATCTATCATACACATTCTTCATGCTGGGTCTATTTCTTTCATAAATAAAAAGTGAAATTGTCTAGGTTGAATTTTATATAAACATATATATGGACTTCGGATATAGGGCAATTTTTTTTATGTCAAAACATAAATGTGAACCTATAATGTGGATAAATTGCCCTAGAAGCCAGCTGTGAACCAGAGTCACTATCAAGAGCTAAGGGAATGATAGTAGTTCAGTAAATATTTAATGCAGATTGTTGAGAGTGTGGGATTTTCAGATATGAAGGGAGCCAAAATGAAACTTTATACAAGAAGGGTTTTATCAAGGAGAAGTTAGTGAAGAAGCACAGCTTCCAGTCGAAATACAATAGAACTCAAATATTCTTTTGTCACCTGTGCTTGGTGGGTTTGAAACATATAGAATAAAAGACACAGGTCATTGCAATTTATAACATGAGTATAACAAACTATAAATCCATATTATATATTTAAGGAAAAGAATTAACAAAGAATCAATTATTTCCTAAGTCTTTGTATACAACTTCTTCAAAACAATAAATTATAGTCAACTTCTTCTTCACAATCTCCGTAAAATCAGATTCCAAAAAATATATGTACATATATTTTAAATATAGAATGTTTCACAAATTTGCATGTCATCCTTGTGCAGGGGCCGTGCTAATCTTCTCTGTATCGTTCCAATTTTAGTGTATATGCTGCCAAAGCAGGGGCCAAAATATTGAATGAATTAAAGTATTTGTTTGAATTTGGGATTTGGGCATGTTTAAGTTCTTGGAATTAAGAGTGTTTCAAATTGAGAACTAGCCCGACACACAGTAGGAAATAGAAACAAATAAACAAAAAATGTTGGCTAAATCAATGCATGAAATCAATGTATATTTAGGGACTGCCTAGTTGATGCATAACCCCCATGGTATTCATATTGAAGCCAAACTGGATACACACCATTTTTACAAACTGTTAACTACAGTTTTCAGAGTGTGTAAAAATATTCAATACTAATGAAAAAAGCCCATTACTAATGAAAAAAATCCATTAGTAATGGGATTTCCCAGGAAGACTGCTGTGGTTTTTTAACATTTCTTTTTGTGCTTCAAGTGGACAGCTTCAACTTTCTTCTACAAAGTGCCAATCCATTTATAGAGATAAATGGATTCTTTTTTAATTAAAACACTATTGGATAAGGTAGTTTATTAATGTTTTTATTCCAAAGTCATAACTTAATAGTTTTTTTAATTTTTATTTTTAATGTAACTTAATAGTTTTGATTGTATTTAAATTCAGATTAAAATGAGAGGTTACTCATAAAACAGTTTAGTATGTTCCGTAGTGCTACAACTCAGTAGAAACTTTAGAAATGTTATAGATTCAGAAAGTTATCCAGAATGCAGAAATCGACCTGGGGAAAAATGGCAGTTGTTTGATTTTTTAAAAATTTAGACACATGATCATTTAGAACAGGCAGTTAAGTTTAAGTTGTGAAAATGTAGATGTAACAAGTTTGTAAACACGTGGAGCTACATACATGGTCAGTTATCTAAGGGGAAAAGAGAGGGAAGTGACAGAGAGCAAGATCTGAAACAGACGTACAAACTCATTTATTGTGAAAAATGCCCCCAAAGGACTCAGCAATGTTTGTAGACTTTTGTCCACAAAACTGCACAAAGCTTTTTCGGAATTAAGAAAGTGTAAGTATCTCTAACCCATTAGCAGATTTGCTGACGTCTGCATTCACCACATTCTCCCAAAGTTGATTTTCTAAATAAAAAATCTTGTTTCCAGCCACAGAGGTCTAGATCTAGGATACATTAGTTACTTCCTTTGCAATGTTCCCGCAAATTGGATTACAGCATGTACAACATCAAACTGTAATTATCTGTTCTATTCTGACATCCCCAGAAGTCTGTGAGTCTTTTTCTGGAAGGCAGGGACCATGTATTGGCCTTCTTTGAATCTTTAGCATCCATCACAGTTTAGTATACAGATGGTCCTTTGTAAACATTTACTTATCTCATCAGAAGACACTGTGCTTACAGAAAACCTTAAGGTATATTAACAGTCATAGAGAATGCAGAATGCCTGTTTTAATAAAAACAGGAAGATTCTCTTTTTTTCCTCTATGACAGAATTCTTAGCTTAGCCTTAATAATAAGTATTCCACAATGTCTAAATATAGTGGATGTCATCTGTAGAGACCTGAGCTATTTATGGCACACAGCATCACAGCAATAGCCCTAACGTCATTAAAATGTAAACTAAAGACATGGCTAGAAATGTGTTTACCTTTAATTTACTGAGACCATATGGGCTGTGACACTAATGTAATGCAAATGGTACCACAAACTACTATGAAAATAAAAATTCAGCCAGGAATGCTTTGAACTGCTCTGAATTCCTAAGGCACTGTTTATATCACTCTAAAATGCTCGATGATAGGTTCTATCTTGTAAATAGTTACAGGCATGTATTGAAATTCTACTAGATTACTAGTCATTTGTTTTTGCATCCCTACTTACTACCTGCCATGAAATATGGAATCAATGAATGCTTATTGACAAATTAGTCTCTCTTGGCTGATCAACCATGCTTATCTGTACTTCTATGTCAATTAAGCATCTTGACACTTCTATAGATCTAGGTTTCTAGGTCAGTAATATTCAAACTTCAGGAAGAAGTCAAAGAAGTTATTTGAATGGCTTGATCAAGAACACCCAGGATATTATGTCCTTGATGAAGGTCTTCTAAGCCTTATCTAATACGGTATTAGTTATTCATGACCACTAAATCATTAGGTCTTTGGAAGGATATGGTAACAAATTCTTTATTCTGACCTCAAACTGGAGTCACATCTCTCACAAATTCTTCATTCATCCTAATGTTTTCTAATTCCCTGAAGTGATAGCACAAAAATAGGGTCCTATTTTGCCTTTAGATTTGTAAAAAACATGTTTATATAGTGCAAACATTATTACTGCTTGTGGTATAGACCTCCAAATTCTATCAACAGGTTTATGGGAACTGAAGATAAAGATGGAAGAAAGCTGCAATGTAGATGGCATGATAATGGTATGGTTTCCCCCAGTTAAAGGCAAAAGGGAAAGGAAGTCTGAATCTGAAATTAACTTTCACTCTCCAACACTAGCATTGCTCACATTTGCAGGAAGGTATTTGATGTTTTGTTGCTTCTTTTTATCAATACCCTTTATTCAGCACCCTTCTCAAAGGTATCTTTCAAGTCTCACTTTCCAGAGAAAAATAACAGAGGTTAAAAATATTTTCCCACCTATATGTCATAGCACTGTCATCCAGAAAAAGCTTGAGGGTGGAAACCAAATTCAGACATCAAGGAGATCTAGGAGTTAGGTAGGATCATGTGGTAGCATTCCTACTTACGCCAGAAGGACAAGATCTACGGTTAGGAAAAATTCTCTACTGCTTAAGCTCTGACTGAGGTGAATTAACATCCCAAGTGGACCTAAATTTCAGATATGTAGTTAGTGGCAGAGTTAGTGCACATTCTATTTTATCTCTATCTCTACCTCTCTCTCTAGAGAGCTCCCCTCTGTTTGCTCTAGCTGCCTGCCAGGGTGCCTTTCTTGCTGTCTCTGCCTGGTGTAAGCTTCCATGCCACACTATTCTGCATCCCCCCATCTCCTGTTTCTACACTCAGTGATTGCTGGGCTCCAGGTAAGTACCGCCTGGACTGCCTTTCTACATCTGCAACTGGATCTTCTCTGTTCCTGCTTTAATTTCCTCACCTCTACCTCTACTTAGTGGGGCATAGCTACTCTCCTGTTTCATCCATTCACACACTTCAAAGAGATTATTACATTCTGACCTGGCTCTGGCCAGTTTATTTTATTCCTCTAATGACCAGGAATCTGAACTCTCATCCTGATGGTGGTGGACACTCAAAAACATTTAGGAATAAACTAAAGTGTTGGCTAGCATGGCTCATTAGTAGAATGAGATCACCTGTTTGTTGGCTTTCAGCACTGCCCTCAGTGTGGCGATCTGCTCCCGTTTGGTGCTCAGTAGGGATTTAAGCTTGAGGATCTCTTCCATTAGGGCTTCTTTGTCTTTATCAATCATGGGGGCCAGCTCCCGTGCCGCAGCTCTTTGACGAGACAGTTGCAAGGACCGGTCCACAGCTTTCTGCAGATGTTTGATTTGGTCCCGGATTATGGCATTAAGGTTGTAGATATTCATTGGTTCTTTGCGGATGTCACTTGTGTCTAATACTGGAGATGATGGTGGGGCAGTAATAACAGGAGAGATGGTGGGAGTCTTGGTTGGACTTGGTTCTTTGCTGGCCTCTGTGTTTTCTTTTGAAACTGGTTCAGGTGAGGTCCTTGTTTCTACAGGGGATGACACACCCCGCCTGGCTAACCGTGGAGACAAAAGTCCCCTGGGATCATCAGGCCCTTTCAGGCTGCCACTACGGGTGACTCTACTTTGCCTATAGTAGTCCAGCATGACCCTGTTAGGGGTTTCATTATTACACAGACATACATGATGGTAAAGCTGAGCTAGCTCCTCACTAAATGTCACCAACTCATCCTGGGCTGTATTAAGGGTATTGTGATTTTCATTGGCTATGCTGGTCATCTTTTGCAACTCCTTCTCCATATGGGCCATCTTCTCTCCACTCTCCTTGGTGGCCTTCTCAAGGCCTGTAATCTGCTCATCATACATCTGGATCTTACTCTCATACTTCGTCTTCTCTTCAGTATAGTTTTCTACAGATTTATTATATTTCTCCTTTAAGGCCTTAATTTCAGCTTTCAAATCGATCACCTCAGTTACTGCCACCCTGTATTTGCATTCAAGTATCTCTAAGCCATTGATGTCCACCTCGTAGTCATGGGTCTCCTCTCCCGAGTCCTGGCCCTTTTCCCCGTCCAGCTGCTTGAGCTCCTTGCTGCTCTGCAGGCCCCTCATGGCATTAACGTGCTCCGTGAGCCGGTGCACCCGTTCGTGCTGCTCCGTCAGTGCCCCCTTGGTGTGTTCCAGCTGCGTCTGTGACTCCTGGAGATTGGCCAGAAGAATGGCCTTTTCCCGTTCTACCTGCAAGGGCAAAAGAAAGTCTCTGAATGACTTCAAAGCAATGTCAGTGATGAGCTTGACCCATTCACATTTGGACATGTATATGTTTTAAAAATGCAGAAGAGCCCATGTTTCCATTACTACAAGTTGAATTGGAGTGTTTTCTTATTTCAGCAGTTCTGGTAACTCAATCAAAAAGTACATCATTCAAAAGAATTATGCTCTGCATATTTACCCACCTAAATTCTCATGCATTATACACAAGTCAAATCTGGGCAAGCTTCAGTTTAATAATCTATAAATGGAGCATAACAATGCCTGTCTCATAGGGACATTTGGATGATTTAGTAGGACAGTGAATTTAATGCTCAGGGTATTATAATGTTAGCTGTTGTTAACATTTGGGTAACTGTGGTCCAATTCCCATGACCAAAATGCTTCTACATGGCAAACACATCTGCTTTACAAATTTGTATTTGTATGTGCAAAAGCAACTCTTTCATCTCAGAGTCAGGATATATTTGAATACAAATCCTCTTAGCTGGGTTTCATTATGTATAACAGATTGTACTTGCTTATAGCTGAAGATGAATTGACTTATCCAGACTATTGGGCAATAATTTTAAGTGAAAATCCAGGTAATTATGCAACACAGTATTTGATGAAAAGCCAAGACATTTGAATTTTTGATAAAAGAGATGGAAAATCTCCTAAATATACTACTATTGGTATTGTATACAATCTCAATGAAATGGACTGTTTTTTTTCTTTTTCTCTTAAAAATTAAGTAAATTTGGTCTGAAAAATCTAAATATCATTTGATTAGTATACATGAATACAATACGCATAGCTGATTTCAAAAAGCTCTTCAATAGGAAAAACTTTTGGATAAAACTAAAAACTGGATGAGAACAAAATGTACTGAACGTGTCTCAGGTTTGTTTTAGAGGCAAAAGTGTTATGATAAATGAGATAATGCCTTTAGGAGAGCTTCCAACCTGGACTTTGCCAATTCCCATTTAACATAAACATTTTCTAAGCCCCAAAGTATGTCTACCAATTTCTTCATGATAGCACCTCCAGAAAACATTAAATAGAACACTGTCTCCTTCATATGTATATGTTCCACATATAGTACTAATTTCCACATTCAATACATTTCTGGTGGAATCATTTGAATAGGGAATGATGTCCAAATTTTATACACACATACACATGTATGTGTGTGTATGTAAATACACACATACATACATACAGGTGTGTGTGTGTGTATATATTTTTTCTGGACAATTGAGGTTGGTCTGCCCAACCCCTCCAAAAAAAGATAACTAAATTGTGAATAATTTTGTATAACTCTGCCATTACATTTTCCCTCAGCTATTGAGGCTTGAAGTACCTTAAATTGTATTTGGATTTCAGACAGCAGGGCTTAAACTATTTAAGATACATGGTACTTTGAATTATTAAATGCAAAGCACTTTAAAGATTAAAATTACTATTCATTCTAAGTGTATATTTTAATCTCCATTTGTGAAGAACTTATTCAAGAGAGACTTGCTGAGTTAACTGTAATCTATAATTATATATAAATAATATATAATCTTCTACAGTGACTAAGAATAGTTGCCTTATTTCTCTTCTTACAATCTCTGTCTTCTATCTGAAACTGAAGATTTTACTTTGCATAGTAGGGTTGGTTGTTTTGCCAGAAAACTTGAATGCATAATTTGTAAACTCTGTAGTCTGGTGTAAGTACACAATATATTATTATTATGGTTATAATTATGCGCCATAGAAATTTTTATTATTATTTTTTGGCCACGCAGCATGCAGGCTCTTAGTTGCGGCATGTGTGTGGGATCTTAGTTCCCTGGCCAGGTTTCGAACCTGTGCCCCCGAAGTAGAAGCACGGAGTCCTAAACACTGGGCCACCAGCGAAATCCCATCCCATAGAAATTATTATTATTATTATTATTTTTAAAGGCAGTTGGAATGACGGTTGGAGGGAGGGGGATGATTTTAACATTTATTTATTTATTTATTTTGACTGCGCCGCGTCTTAGTTGCGGCACACGGGATCTTTAGTTGCAGCATGTGGAATTCTTAGTTGTGGCATGTGAACTCCTAGTTGCGGCATGCATGTGGGATCCAGTTCTCCAACCAGGGATCGAACCTGGGCCCCCTGCATTGGGAGTGTGGGGTCTTACCCACTGGACCACCATAGAAATTATTTTCAATTTTGCTGAGTGTTTACCTTTTAAATAAACACATTTATATGTATTGACTACTGATAGATTCTTCTTTTGTGAAGGAACAAAAGAAAAGACAGCAGAATTTACATGTTTATATTAGGACTTTTATAGGAAAAGAAATAAAAGCTGTTTTATGAGTTATTAATTTCCATAAAGCTTTTATCCTGGTCATCTGACTTTCAATTTGACACCTGAATGACTGGTGTGATTTTTGTAATGTTATACATAGTATGAGTATGTAAAATAGAACTCAGAAATAAATAACATTCTTCTCTGCTTGAAGTGAACTAACACTGGCAAATCTGTGCCCTGATGAATGAGAGCTGTGAAAAAAGATCAGCCTACAACCAAGAAACACAAGGTGAGGGAATCCAGCAGTTGGAAAAGAAGGTAATATATTTTGGAGAGTGTGGTGAGAAGGAATCTCTTCTCTCTGTCTGTCTCTCTCTTACACACACACACACACACACACACACACACACGTATATGCAAAAGTCAGTCAGCTGGACAAAGACTCAGGAAAAAAAAAAAAAAAAAAGAAGGGGAGGGAGGCTTTTCAAGTCATTCTATGAGGCCAGTATTACTCTGATACCAAAACCAGGCAAAGATAACTATAGACCAGTATCTCTTATGAATATAGACACAAAAATCTTGAACAAAATACTAGCAAACTGAATCCAGCAACATATAAAAACGTGTTAGACAACCTGACCAAGTGGGGTTTATCCTAGGAATGCAATGTTGACAACATGCAAAAATCAATAAATATAATATACTGTATTAACAGAACACAGGACAAAACCACACGGTCATCTCAATGTATGCAGAAAAAGCATTTGACAAAATTCAATACCCTTTCATGATGAAAACAGACAACAATCTAGAAATAGAAGAGAACTTCCTAAACCTGCTGGGTCATCTACAAAACACCCACAGATGACATACTTAATGGTGAATGCTTTCCTCTTAGGACCAGGAACAGGACAAAAATGTTTACTCCTGCCACTTTTATTCAGCATTGTACTAGAAGTTCTAGTCAGGGCAATTAGGCTATGGTCAAGTGGCAAATAAATGTCTGTGAGGCTGTGGAGAAATCAGAATCCTCATACACCACTGGTGGAGATGTGAAATGGTTCAGCTGCTTTGAAAACAGTCTGGCAGTTCCTCAGAAGGTGAAACATAGAGCTACCCTACAACCCAGCAACTCCACTCTTAAGTATATGCTCAAGGGAATTAAGATATAAGTGCACATAAAAACCTGTACATGAATGTTCATAACAGCATTATTCATAATAGCTGAAAAGTGGAAACAACTCACATGTCCATCACTGATAAATGAATAAATAAAATGTGGTATATCTATATAATAGAGTATTATTTGGCAATAAAAAGAAATGAAATACTACTATATGTTACAACACGAATTGAACATATTATGCTAAGTGATAAAAGCCAGACACAAAAGACCACATATTGTGTGATTCCACTTAAATGAAATGTCCAGAATAGACAAATCTACTGAGACATAAAGTAGATTAGTGGTTGCCTACGGTTGGAGTGGCTGCTAATGGGTACATAGTTTCTTTATGGTGTAATGAATTGACTGTGGTGGTGATTGCACAACTGTGTGACTATACTAAGAAACACCAAATTATACCCTTCAACTGGGTGGATTGTATGTGAATAATTGCTATAAAGCTGTTCTTAAAAAATAACTACATGGACTCATCCCTTGTTGTGTGATTATGGATGCTCTTATTATGGTTACTGACAGATGGTTTAAAAAAAAAGTAAGGCTTCTGAGAAATGTGTTTGCCTAAAGCTTTTAAAGGTAATCTTTAACTGTAAAGTTTACAATAGTTTGACAACTTAAGTTGTCAACTTTGTCCTAAGAAATTGTATTTGTCACATTTTTAAAAACTAGGAACTGACCAATCTTGTCTTACTAATTTCATCTCATAAATATCTTGTGAGTCTCTGTTAAGCACAGATAATATTTCATTTGTTTGACTCTCTCTCTTTCTCTGTGTAGCAATCCACTTCCTAGGCTTTTGGCTTTGAGCAAATTACATATTTGTGCCTCAGTTTCCCTATCTGTAAAATGGGGATAACACTATCTACCTGGGTTATAAGCATCCACCAATTAAGCAAATATATATAAATTACTTTTAACTCTTATGGGACATGCAGCAAATTGACCACTTACCATCATTATAGGAAAAATTTAAATTGCCTTTAATACAGTATATCTATAAACACAATATGCATCTTTATTTCTTCCACATCCACGAGGATACAACAAAACTTAAAAATTTCAGTCTTAGAGAAATATTACTATTTTCTCACATTACATGTGAAATTATATAGCCAGTATGATACTAAAGAAAACAATGCAAAGAGTTTTCTCCTGCTTAGTCTGACTCTCTGTGATATGAGGTTAAACAGAGGCTATTTGTCAAAGGTAGAAATTTTAGCACAAGCATAGAGACTCTTTTAAATAATTATGTAATTTATTTAGTGTTCCCAGGCAGGATCTACTTATTTTCATTCTAATAAAATGAACTAAAGTACTTGTCACTGAGAATTATTATTATTATTATAGCCTATTTGAAATAACTGGATTTTGAGGGTGATACAATTCTAGGAGGCACTATTTAAATTGTAGTCAGTGTAGGTTTTTATATTTAATCAATATTATTACCATTTTCCAGCAGATGGCAGTATGATATCTTGGGGAAGGGGACTTTTTTTTTTTTTCCTAATTCCAAC